AGAATATTACAAATATTACGAGCAATCAAATAAATAAACGAAGAATTTTGTTTTTGAGAAATGTTATTCTTTTGAATAAATAGAATAATGTTCATTACACTACTTATTGTGCCAATCACAATTAATATGGGACCACCAAATCGATATAGATTGATTAATATGATATTTAATGATGATGATGAAGACATAATACTATATATATATATGTGATAATGATTATTGTTTATTTGGTTTTTTGTGGTAATAAAAGAAGAAGAGAGATGTTAACTATATATATATAGTGTAGCATTTGAAATGAAGTAAAAGAGTACATGAAAATGAACTGAATGTTGAATATAGTGAACATATGGTTATGAAGAGGAAAACATGAATAATGTGATATAATTAAACTATAAATTATTAGATAAAATTGTATTGAGAATAAGATTTATAGTTACAAAATAATAATGACATGCGAAGTGTTTTAGTCAGTATTAGATTATCAAATATATATGCATACAGACACATGTTATCAATAAGCAACGGGATGTTTTCACAGGACTTGATTTGTAATCTAGTGAGTTTGTTAAAGTTAATACATATATATAAATGAAAGATATCACAATTGAAAAATATTCTGTTGTTTTTATAATGAATAAATAAACTCAATATATTTTATATGTTGAAAAGTATAGGTTATGTAATTATTTAATTACTATAATAACAAATTACAAATATATGACTGATACGATGAAAATTCTAGAGTTTGTATCATAAATTATATCTATCGAAGGTGTCCGTGCTTTAGGTTTACCATTGTTAGAAATAACAATACAAAAATGAAAATAAAATCCAATATTCACGTATACAATACGATGTGAGAGAATGAACAGTAACTAATTTGAATTTAATGATAGATATCCAATCTTTACACGATTTATAGATAGTATAAAAAAACACTCTACCTGGTTGACTAAACTAAATCTAAAATTATCCATCAATCAATCATAATGGCAATGTTATCTCAATTCATGTTTGTGTGGTTATTAATATTTCAACTTATAAATACAAAATTTGAATAATAAATATATCCATCGAATATAGTTATAGTAAATCGTAATATTCATCATTATAAAAAGTACAATTCAACCAATAAAAGTTATTATTCTTATCTATTGCCTTATAACATCTATATGAAGAAATAAGAGTCATGTCATGTTATCTTAGCTTATAACAGATTAAACATACTTTCGTAGCACATGTGCATCTATTTGTTCTCTCATATGAAGAAAATATGAAAATTCGAGAACGAATCAAGGTGCATCCATTAGATAAGGAATCGAAAAAAAGAAAAATATACTGTTCTAGTAACAATATACACGTTTTTTCTATCAAGCGTTACAAATGAATAATGCAGTTGCCAAGTAAGAAATGACTTGCAAAAGATCAATTTTGTTCTATTTTGGACAAAATCAAGTGATTCGTTTTCTATTTCCATCGATTTCTAATAGAATAACAAGTGCTGGACGTCGCGATGTTCCTTTACTTGATTTACCAGTAGATGCGACACAAAATGATGCAGATACAACTTCTATACCAGCCGCTCAAATCGAACAACCATCATTACCTAATGGACATCCTTCACATGATGCTGAAAAACATTTACGTGCTAAATTACGATATTTTTTCATGTCACCTTGTTGGAAATGGCATTTAAAACGACAATTTCCATGGAAAGCATGGTTTCAGTTTATTAAAATTATTCTTGTTACTGCTCAGGTTTATTTTTTCTTCCAAAAATAATCTTAAAAATCAATAACTTTTGTTTGCTTTTATTTATTTCGAATAGTTAATTCTATTTGGTATTGAACGACAAACACATGTCATATTTATTTCTGAAAGTAATACAACATTTCATCATTTATTTATTCGTGGTTGGAGTGCAAGTGATGAAACATTACCGTATCCAAGAGCATCTGGAGATTTTGCTGTTTACACAAATAAAGAATTTCTTGATTCAATTAATTTTGCTGTACATCGTGTAAGAATACAAAATTTTTATATTTTATCTATTAAATTTTGTTTAAATATTTAGTTTAATAATCTAGCAAATTTATCATTGGGTTTATTTGATTTTCACGATCATTCATCATCAAAGTCAATCGATATTAATTCTGAAAAAGGTGATCGTGTTGTTAAATTATGTTTAAATCGTTTTAAAACATGCCGAATTGATCCAACTTCACACACGTATATATTAGATAGTGAAATTGAAGATGGTATACATATTAGAAATAAAAAACGGTCTTTTATCCAATTTTTTTCATTATTTAGCTTGTTTTACATTGAATGCAACAGATAACTTTAATGTTGAGCATTACCTATTGCATAGGCATAACGAAACTATAAGTTATTGTGGGTAAGAATATTATCTCAATTTTTATAATTTTTTTTCTATATAAATTTTAGACTTAATGAACTAACACTTAAATTTGCTATTCATGCTATTCAACTTAAAAATCAAAAACCATTTAGTTTACCTGATTGCTATCATTTTTCAATCAAAGTACTACATTTATTTGTTTTTAAACAAAGAAAAATAT